CCCCAAAACCCCAAAACCCCAAAACCCCTCTCCACTAAAATTTAGAGATTCTTGAAAGTTATGAAATTAAGAATAAATACTTGCCTTTTAAGATTAATGTGTGATATCATTTTAATTTCTGTTCAGGATTAATTAGACTTACATCAGGCTTTTTCCCAAAAAAATTGAAAAGATTATGTCTTCTTGAATTTACTGACTGATCTACTTAATTTTTTACAAAGTTATTTGATTAGCTTCTAAATTATTTCATATCGAAATCCTAGGAGTCATCTAGCATCAAATTTCTGTTGGAGCTATTAAGGTGCTCTATATTTTATGATTCATTGAGATAGTTATTAAAAGCATTAGATACAACCCTCGACTTGATTGGGGATTCTCTCTTTGGTAATTATGGAGAATAGTAGTTATGGATATTATTATTTTTAGACTTGATTTCATCATTTACGATTAAATAATTTAAGTTAGTGACTTGCAACGTATTACTCTCATGTTTGCTGCTATTTTAAATAACTTACATTGACATTCTATGCATATCATCATATTCTTTATTTATAGTGTGGTTCTGTTGAGATTAATATGAATTATGAGAATAATTGGATCTCTGAGTGACCAAATGATTATTTGAGTGAAATGATTGGTTGTTAGGATTCAATTCATGCTCAACATGAGAACTATGATGCGAGTAGACCTCAAAGTCTCTTTATGTTTAAATATTATGACTTCTGTGAGATGATGATCCTTAGGATTGGATTTAATTTTAGTCATGATATTAATTATTCCCTTCAGTAACCTGATCAACTGAAATTACAATTTTTTTATGAGATGTTTTGGGTTAGTTTTAGAACATACTATCTTTTATTGAATTTAATGGATGCTTAGTTGCTTCATTATACAAATGACCTTTATTAAAGTTAGAACCAGTCATATCTTCATCAGCATTTTTAGTAACTTCATACACAAACCTTCTAAGTTTTAATCTATTTTTACTGACAAATTTATTATACTTCCTCTTAAGTTATTGAAAAGTATCATGAATTATAACTGAAAGATTGATAACTATAATCATAGCAATAAGTGAAAGTATTAATATTCCAGTTTAATTTTTGAGAGCTTAATCGTTTGAGAAATCTGTAAGAATAGGAAGCGCATAAGATGAAATGCAAAAATATGAAGTCTCGTTCAGTATCTCCATATTGTTTGATTGAGGCTGTTTAAATGGTCTGATTGAAACAATGTAGCATAGATATAGGAGGTTGATTATTATTAAGGACTGGATCTAGATGCAACAAAAATCTTGAAGTTCATAGACTATGCAAATGAACACTAGTCTCCTTAATAGAAATATTGGTATAAATAGAGTCTTTGAAAATTTGCTTTTCGTTTAGATTCCATCTAAAAATGATTGTATAGAATGCCTTAACTTCTTTTCTTTGTTTATTTTATATTTTCTAAGTAACGCATAAGCAAAGACTGGAAGTAAAATAGATATAACCTATTATAATCAATAAATAATATAAATCTTACAATTAGAATAAAAGAAAGAATGACACTTATCTATTCTCCAAAACTTTCAAATTAAATATAGCTGAGTGTCATTATACTTGCCATCATAATCTCTAGATATCCTTCGATCATGAATCTTAAGATTTTTGAAAATAGTATCTTTTTCTTGTATTTTTACAACAATTTATTCAAGCTGGAATATTTTAAAAACAAATATCTTACATCTGTATTCTTTTCAATATAGTCCATAAAACTATCATTATTATTGTAGAAACTATAGCTATAATCATGAACACAAATAATGGCCCCATTGAGTATATAAAGTTTCTTTAATCATAACCAAGATATTCAAAGTTTAGTGAATAGGATCCATAATCATCTTGAAGCTAAAAGATCTATTGATAATGGTCATTCAGGTTGATGAAATCAAAGCTGACAGCATCTACTAAAATTCTGTATACAAAGATTATGTTGGCTGGAGTACTTATGGTTAGCAAGGGAGTCATAAAATATAGTTAAAGGACATTTGTAATTCCCCATAATCTATCCAGAGCTAATGTACTAAAGAATAGATTTAGTAAATAATCAATACATTAATATGTTGATAAAGATATGACCAGCAATCATGTACTTTAGTACTTTTTAAGCTGCTTCGACTGCTTCTCTCAAAGCTTCATAGTCAACTATATTCTAATAAGATATGGCAAATTTTTACAATCCTGAGGATTTAGAAGCGGAGGGAGCTCTTTTTTCATTTAATATTTATATTCTATGCATTTAGATGACATTTTCGCTATGAAATTCCCATTTTCTATGAATGTAATTTTCAAAATATCTCTATCCTGGAATACTGAGATTTACTCAGTGCCTTAGTAAAATATCAGTTGAATAATCATTGCTTAATCAAGTATTTTTACAACTTTCCAATCAAAATCTATAGAGTATCTCAATTTATCCACTTAAGAACCATCTAAAATCTCAATTTTTATTTAAGTATTATTGAAGCTAGTATAATTAACGGGAGTATAAATTGGCTTTGAAAACTTTATCTCTACTTCTCCTTCTAAACTTATTTTCTTGACAAAAGCAGAAAGTTCTTTATCTATATATTTAGAGTCTTTTATTATCTTTTGATTTACTAAGTAAGATGATTGACTGTTACCTTGAGAATTTTCATTTAGATTGTTTTTAAGTATGACTATGAAGAAGTAGTAAATGGATTTGAGTTGATTATCTGAAATTGTTACCTGCATTTAATATATCCCCAATTGACTATTATCCTTTGGAGATATCGTTACTTATTTCTCATTATTGAATTTTACAAAGCTAGGAATTGTCATTTCAACTCCACTCCTTATTCTATTTAATTTAAGACTAATTTGATCATTTTAATCATCTTTCGCTTGAGGTAGAGAATACAATTTTTGCTGGCCTGCGAATACAGTTATATTCTCTAAAAATTATTAATTCATCTAAAGCTTAAAGTATGGGGCAGAGTTCATTACTGGAATAGGAGTTGTAGTAGTTGTTGTAGTAGTTGTTGTAGTTGTTGAAACTGGAAGAGGTGTTGTAGTTGATGAAGTTGTTGTAGAAGTTGTCGTAGTAGTAGTGGTAGTGGTAGTAGTAATTGTAGTTGTAGTCGTTGTTACCTAAGCTAATATATTTAAAGTAATAGTTGTTGAAGGCATTCTCCCATCTCCTATCAGTAATCCTTTAATAAGCACATTATAATTTCCGATAAAATTCGAATCACTAGTTTAAACTTAGATTAGTGTATTTGAATTAGACAAAGTTATAAAAATTGGCAGTGGAGATAAATCCTGAAGAGTTACTGAATCAAGTTAAAATATTGAATTACTACAAGTTTAAGTGTAGAAGATATTAGTAATATCCAGCTAAAATGTAATATCTGCTATATAGTAATCTATAGGACTTATAGTTTGAATAAGTATTGGATCTTGAGATTAAGTACAAGAATAAGAAGCAATATCTGACTCAGCTATGTCATGAGCTGATGTATCAGATGTTAATGATGGATCAATAAATAGTGGTAGTGGAAAATTTTAGGACGAGTCACTTGAACCTTGAATTTGCATTAGATTTAAACTCATTGTAAAACTAGCTTAACTCATAAATGCAGAGCAGTAAAGCTAAGTACTAGGATAATTAAATATAAATGCTCTATCAAAAGCAAATTAAATAGAATCTAAGAAAGTCAATGAGCCAACGAGGGAAAATTAACTAAGTCCTCGAATATTAGCATATTTAAATTATGATGCTTAGTTTCCAAAGTTAATTATTTCTGCTGAAAGAGAGCTACTAGAACTTGTTGAATCAAATTAAATAAGGGCAACTTGATCATAATTTGAATTAGCCTGAAAGTTATAAAATGTAATAAGAACTATCGACTTAAGTTATGTAGTAGTACTAGCTGAATCGAATAAAGAACCTAGGCAATCACTAGAAGAAGAAAAGGGATTACTCAAATACCACGATTTCTCTATATCTGCTAAGTTTGAGGCTGATTCTTTCAAAAAGAAAAATCCTAAATCTGATTCTGATGCCCCAAGGAGAGAAACGCATCCAAAAATAGAATTTAGTCCATTAGACATTTTGAATGAATCTAAATTAGATACATAGTAATTAGAACTGGAGGGGAAATTGGTCTATACATAGTAATTCATGACTCCATCTGTTAGAGAAAACTTTGAAATTAGCATTCCATTAGGGTCACTGAATGCAGTTATCATTGACTAAGATTAGAAATTGGTTGATACTTGCTTGCAAAATACAACAAATCCATAAACATAAGCCTCAGAATATTGAAGATTTATAAGAGCAGTAGATGATGAGCTCAGAATAGGATCGAATTTGAAAATGTAGAAAATTGCTGAGGTATCATCATAAAGTAACCCATAAATATTGGAACTTGAATCCATTTCCAGAGCAACTAGCACTTGAACTATCAAACCAATAAAAGATAAATCTTAGAAGTAAAATGCTTTGAGCAGCAGGCCAGTATCAGGATCAATCACTGCAATAGCTAAGTTGTCTTTAAATGATGCTATAATATAGGAGTAATCTTAGGAGTAGAGACATCTATCCATTATTTAAATTTAAATTCCTGAAGCACTTCCCATAGAATTATAATACTTAGACCAAACGATATGGCCATAGGTAGTGTCAAATTTGAAAAGTATTGGTCTAGAATTTCCACTCCCATGAACTAATTAACTAGAGTAACTAAAACCACAAGCAAGGACTGAAGTTTTAGGCAAATCGAAAGATGAATACACAAATTAGCTCTCTGCATCGTTATTTCCAATCAATTTAGGAAAGTTTTAATAGCAGACTGTCGAATTACTATACAGATTTAAAATATAATTTTGTGTAATACCATAATCAGACTAGATAAAGAAGCAAAAGATATGTCTAAAGAAATAAAGCTCTGCACTTTAAATTTGATAAAGTAATCATTACTTTAATTACAATTTAATTATTATATTAATGACATGTCGGATTAAATTATCATTAATTTCTTTAAAAAAATACTTTTGCAATGCTTCTTACGGGGTTTTGGGGTTTTGGGG